GACATTGTGTATAAACCTCAGCCCTAATCTCTGAGCCAACACTGAGAATCTCAGTTTAGACAGTGATAATGTGTTTCGAGCAAGGCCATATGTTGCTTAGGGACAACCAGGCATGGGAAGGTGCCAGCCAGGCCAAGAGCCTATAGGTAGGAAGTGGGGAACAGGCCAGCTCAATTTCCTACTGTGTCCCACAATTTCCTGCTGGGTCTGGCACTGGCAGTGTTCCACAGAGAGAGAACTTCTATCCCTGCCCGCTGGAGGATGGGGATTGGGGGAGGTGTGTGAGTGACATTATTTCAAAATAAAGGCTTGCTACGTATACACACATTTTGTTATTTTGAAATAACGTCAGTTATTCTGAAATAATGCTGTTGTGTAGACTTACCCTAAAAGTCCATTTCAAGGGCATTATCAAAAGCCTTTTGGAATAAGTAAATGATGTCCACCCTGTTACCTTTATCATATAGTTTTTCGAACAGCTGCAAAAGATTGAAGTAGAAATGTTGTTTCTTAAAGCTGTCTTGACATGGAACAATTTTTGCTTAAAGTTGTCCTGACATGGATAACAAACATCAGATATAATGCGCTTTCCCCCTTCCCCTATTCCAAACACTGTGAGGGGTTTCCATTGATGATGATGGTGATGGCTTTAACTGTGATTTGAAAAATATCACCCCATTACTTTACAGATCGGAGCAAGACTTTTGTTGTTGGGATTATGGATGACATCCATCAGTCAAAAAGCAGGAGAGAGTCAAGGTTGGGATGAAAGGAGCACAGTGTTTAAGTCAGAGAATATACTCGAAGTTCAAAGCAGCAACTAGGGAGGGCAATACTGATTATTGATCTGATATAATAAAAGCATTTCAACTAAATCCTTTGTAAAACAATGTAGTCTATCACTTGTAAAGATTTCTATTGGCAGCTTATGCTGCTTGATTCATCCATGTATTCAAGCATACATATAATGTAAAGCTACTCACATGCTAAAAAATATACATAAGCTTAGGTAACTTGCTGCCCTCGGACTTCAGTTAATGAAATAATAATACATAGCACTTAATAATAATACATAGTACCTTCCTTTGAAGAACTGCAAGTCCTTGGCATACTTCAAGTAGTTCTTCTGAGTACTTCGGTATCTATGTAAGAGGCTATCTAAATACAGAGGCAAGATCACTCAAATAACCTTAATTCTGCACTCATATAGCCTGAGATAACTTACTGACAGACATGACTGTTCTTAAAACATACTTTTTATTAAGAAGGAATCTATACACAAATAACATTTTTTTAAAACCTTCTTAATGTTCTCCTCCAGCCACCTGTGCTATGATCCTTCATTATTTCTATTGCCCAGCATCCAGTGCCTCACAGAAAAAAACAAACCACAGCATCTAAAGTTGGGATCCACCTCGTCATCTCTAGCCTGATTCTGGCCTGCATATTTATACCTGCCTCTGGAAATTTCCACTAAATGCTTCTGACGAAGTGGGTCTTTGCCCATGAAAGCTTATGCTCCAACAATTCGTTTAGTCTATAAGGTGCCACAGGACTCCTCGCTGCTTTTGCAGATTCAGACTAACATGGCTACCCCTCTGATACTAAAGTAGGGATGTTAACCATTAGTTATTTTACTAGTCGAGTAGTTGATGGAATTTCCATCGAGTACTCACCTATCTGATAGGCACTTCCGCATTCCTTCTCTGCAATGTACAAGAGCCCCTGCTGGGTTTCTTGTACATTTCAAAGGAGGAATGTGGAAGTGTCTGTCGACTAGTTGAATAGTCGATGGAAATTCCATGTGTAGAAGAGTCTCCAGTGGGGGACCTGTGATCAGCTGGGGACTCTCCAGTTGACCATGGGTTCTGCACGGCATTTCCCCAGATTCCATGGAAATGCCGCACGGAGCCCGGGATCAGCTTGGAAATCCCCAGTTGACTCCAGGCTCCATGCGGTGCTGCTGCATTGAAACATTGCCTCAGCATTTCAAAGTGGCAGCCCACCACAGATGAGTCCGGTCTCAACTCTGCAGGGCTGCCCTTTGAACACTGTCTCAGCATTTCAAAATGGCAGCACCACACAGCTGAGCCTGGAATCAGCTGCGCAGCACTGCCGCTTTGAAGTACCCCATCTCTGCCCTCCCCCATCCCCGTTTGCTGCCTCTATCTGATAGAGGCAGGAAGGATAGGGAATTGACTAGTCAACTGACAAACCAATAAGTATTTGCTTCTTGGATAGTTGACTAGTCCTTAACATCCTTAATCTAGAGCCTAGAGCATAAAGGTGTGACTTCTTTATGCTTCCAGGAGGACTTACTCTATAATAGACAAGAGTACCTCCTATTAACTAAGGGAGCATGTGAGGCAATCAGATCTATAAATCACACAGGTTCTCCTCATTGGTTACTACAAACACCTGAATATCTTCAGTTTAATAAATCATTGTGCTGGACAGAGTTGATAGTTGTTTTTAGGAGGGTCCCATAGGAGCCTATTAAGGATGTTTGACCTTAACTTTGTATACTTTATTTGTAAATATAAACATAACTGTTTCACTGTGTTAGAGTCAATGATAGATCCAGGGGACAGATGTCTACAAGGTGGTGGTGACCCATTTTGCTGAGCCTCAGCCCTGTCAGTGACAAAGTAGCTGAATGTGAATTAACACACAAATCCACCTGCTGGTTCCTTCCAGGCTGGTGAAATCAATAGAAGATGCAGCGTTGAAAGCCACGGCCTGCGGAAAGATGTTTCAGCTGAAGGAATTCAGCTACTTTTTGTAAGCATAAGCTGACAGCAACTCCTCTTTATAAGAGGCATTTATGGACAGCTATTAGGTACAAGGATATGCATCGTTCTTCAAGTGATGTCATTTAAAGAGCCAAGTATATGATAGCTTTGTTTTCCTGTGTATAAAACTTCTTTTTCATAGATGCTGGGGCAAATTTAAAAAATGAGTTTTAGAGAACAGTATATTTGGAAGGAAACTGTATTTCAGCATGTTCAAATAACAAGAGCATAGAGTCTGCTCTCCATTACTTCAGTGTAAAGCTATTGCATTACTTGGGATTTATTGTGTAACAGAGCTCAGAATCTAGCTTGAGCAGTTTTAATCCAAAATGAGTGTGCATGTTTGACACTTTCACACTGGAGCCCCCGGGATATATAACTGAGATTTAGGTTTAGATTGATGACACATTATCACAAGGGCATGGCATGCTTAACAGATGTGAACCTGAGCAATACATCGTAAATGTGGTAGGTGATGGTAAGTGATTGTTCTTTCTTTGAGTTTCCTCTCTACAAGAAATCTCATTTTTCATGGTAACTTCTAGATTTTTACTCTGTCATCACATTAAGGAGTGCAAGCTTTCTATTTCAGCATTTTATGTGTGCTTTCTATCTGTTCCGTAATTTTTTCTAATCAAAACAGAACTCTAGTTTGATTATTATATATAGGGAAATGTTTTCCCTTGAGCTCTCAAAGGCAACAACTTTCTGTCCTGTTTAAGATGAAATTGGCTGTCTTTACAGTAGTTGAAGAAATTGTAAAAGTGTGAGGATTTCCTTCAGAACAGTGCTAGAGAAAGTTAGGTAAGATAGTTAGCATAGTCCCAGAGCCAAAGAATAATATTCTAGTTAAGGCACTGATTTGATTTTTGGGTCGGCCATAGGTTTACTTTGTGATCTTAGATAAATTCCTTAATTATAGAATCGTAGAATCATAGAACACTAGGACTAGAAGGAACCTCGAGAGGTCATCAACTCCAGTCCCATGCCCTCCTGGCAAGACCAAGCACTGTCCAAGCCATCCCTGATAGATGTCTATCTAATCTTGGAGCACCTCAGTTTCCCATCAAAAGAATGGCCATACTGGGTCAGACCAAAGGTCTATCTAGCTCAGTATCCTGTCTAACAACAGTGCCCAAAACCAGATGCCCCAGAGGGAGGGAACACAACAGGTAATTATCACATGATCCCTCTCCTGTCATCTATTTCCAGACAAACAGAGATTAGGACACCATTCCCATCTCTAGAATGGTATTAATAATATATAATTCTTCCTTTTTCCCAGATTTTGTCTTATTTATTTAAATTGAGATAGAGACTGTCTCTTATTGTGTGTCTGTACAGTGCCTGGCACAAAAAGATCCTGAAACTCCTGATCTCAATTGAAATTTCTAGGTGCCACCCATAACATAAATAATGAAAAATTAAAAAACAACAAGCAAAAGACAGATGGCCCTACATAAATTTTGGCAATATCATATTTTTTGAGCTGAAACAGTGATACTGTAAAGTGTAGAGTAAAAATGCAAGTATAGGTTTCTCAACTAAAAATGGAACTAGACAACATAGTCTTGTACAATGGACATTTGACAGCATAGCCAGTGAAAACTCAGAATTTTCATTTCATGGGAAATTCCAGCATTTCCAAATTTGGTTTTTATTCCAAATTAGAATGGAAACAATTTTGTCTTGATTCCATTTTTTTATCAAAATAAAAACACAATTTTGTGAAATATTTTGGTTTTGCTGAAACTGCATTTTCTGATGGAAAACTGTTTGGTAGAAAATAATATGACTAGCTCTATTAGACAATCAGTTTCATTTCATACAATTGGTTGTTGGAGCTTGCTAGTATATTACTATAAAATGTTCTTATTTTCTCTCCATTCAGCTATTTGTAATTGGAAATAGCCAATTGACCTGTTCTGGAAAGAATTGCCTAAGATATTTTAAATATTTTGCCAGAGTATTGTAGAAATCTTGAACTTTTGAAAAAGAGAAAAATACAAGTTGGAATAATTATGAAAAAAAGGATCAAGATATATACTTCTGCTATTGTGTTTTGTAACCTGATTTGTTATAAGTTTTTGTTTTGTAATGAGGATAATTTTATTTTTTTCCCTTTCCAATGAAATCTAATGCTTGATTTCACTCAAACTGGTATAATTCTGAAGCATTTATACAACTCTATCATCATCCTTTAAACAGATGTCAGATACTGAAGCACGGCTCTGCCTACAGATCAAGTTGCTGTTGCCAACTCTCGCGAGCTTTGTGACAGAAACAGTTGATTATAATGTCAGTACTGTCCAATTTACAGGCTTAAAGTAGCAGCCGCACGCTGCTTTTCACTGAAGTATACAAAGATTTTGACTCTTTTAAAAACTTTGTAATAGAAAGTGAGGTAAGTGGTTCTTTATTTATATGTTTCTATGCCAATATAAGTTACAGTTAAGCTCAATTTATATTTGGATTGTGATCTTTTAAAATGTGCTCTGGACATTTGTTGCTCTGTTTGAGATACTCACTCTGCTCTGCAAATGGAACTGATGGAACAAGTAAGCAGGCATGTGTATCAGACCATGGTATTATTCAAGGGATTCTGCACTAAGTAAATTGAACTGAGCAATAAATCATTTACTAATTCAACCATCTTTTCTATTTAAATAGACATTATATAGCCTTGTCTATAGATTTCTTGGTTGGGTAAAGATTTGCAAGGAGAGAAAATAATCATTGAAATAAATTGCATTCTCTCACTGAATAATACAAACTTATATTGTGTTTAACTTTTATTGGATTAAAAACAATACAGAAACAACTTTTAAATTATGCAAATATAGTAAATGACACAGCTCTATTTGGTTAAGGTTGGCAGGCTTCTGACCTCTTTTATTCTTTTAACTATAATCAAGTCATATTTATTTAGCTCAGTGTGTTTTATATTGTTGAATTTGTTTTAATGCAGCATTTAAATTCTGATAAAATGTAGTATTTCACTGTGAAGTGCAGTAGTATAATTTTCAATTGGTAATTTCATCACTATTCGCAGGAAATATAACTTGAAACTACTATGCTTTCATTTAGCAATGTAGAAATGTTGTATTTTTTCTGAAGTTTGACCTATTTCATTTGCTCATTAAAATGATCCAATATTTCATTAGCGAGCTAATTATAAAGTGTACAGTGTTGATTTTTTTACTTTAATTCTTTCTTTAGTGTTTTCATCAATAGATAAAACATTTTAGGATTGTGGATGAAAAGGCCAGGATCTGTTTTATATTTGTGGATTTTTACTTTTGACTTGTTTTTTAGTATATATGTGAGGTATTTATTTTAAATAACAACTGCATGGGGCCTACTGGTTCAAGATGAACCCCTTACTCTGTATGTTCACATCCTGTATGTTTATTGTTTATTATTATTATTTCAGTTTTCTTTTTCTTATGCCTATAATATTACCATTGATTATTTCAATTTTTACAGCTCCAGATATCATTTTAAATGCTACATTAAATGCTTGTTTTCAGTGGGACATTTTAGATTAAGAATTTTCCCTCCTTATTTAGTTTAGTGTATATTGGATAGTTGCTGACTCTCTATGATGCTAAATCTGTAGCCTAGTACCATCTCCTGTTCACTTCATTCATGAGGTAACTTAAAAGTAAGACAACCAGGGATTTTGATTCTTGCATAATTCTTATCCCCTATGGAGCATTCTTCATTTTAAAGTGCTTTACAAAGATAGGAACTATCACTGTATCCTTTTAATTGATGAGTAAACTGATGTACAAAACAATAAGTAATTTCATTTTGCCTAAGGGCTGCAGCTTGGTATACTAAATCCCTGATCCTGCAAACACTTGGAATAATTCTACTGACTTGAGGCTGCTCACAGCAGTAAAGTTTAGCATGGGTGTGTTTGCAGGATTCTAGGTAAGTAAATCTTCAGACTTGGTCATTGTTAGATAAAGCTGTTTAGTCCTCTATCTTTATGAATCACACTGAGAAGCTTTTATATAAAATGTTATATTGCTTTAAATCTTTTTCCACAGCAGATCATCTAAGTCCTATAGATTGCATTTGCCCATGCTTTTAACAAAAGTGTGATATATTGTCTGTGATAATTTCTCTCTCTGAGTTACTTAGATTCTCTCTTGTGTTAAGAAATAACTTTAAACAGAACCTTTCCTATTTTTTTTTTGTATTCTCACTCAGCTTTCCAGCAATAGGCAAGCAAATTAAATGGTCTTAGATCAGACATACAGCTATACTTTCTACAGAAATTAGCCTCACTCCTTGTAAGGAGAGAAGTTCTGTTCATTAACAAAGAATGAACTATTTAAAGTGGCAGTGCTGAATACCCTCTGTACAACAGTATGACATAGGGAGGAGGGGGAGTGAAGAACAAAAAAGAAAAGATTTATTGAATATTGTCACTGAAGCAGACTGTAGGATCAGTCCAAATGAGAGCTTCTTTTTGGACATTTGGCTTTTTAGAGGAAGAGAATTTTTATAGCAGTTAATAAGTCCAACTTTAAAAGACTAATAAGATCACTGGGACTACTTGCATACATAAACTTAAGCACATAATTAAGAACTTTACCTAATCAGGGGCTAAATTCACAGAGTTATCAGCAGATAGAGGCCCCAATCAAGTACTGCACCAAGCACTGCAAAAATAAATAAAAAATATAATCTCTGCCAAAATGAATCCAAGCAATAACAATAGTATTAATTGTTATGGCAAATTATGTCTATAAAAGAGATTTATTTGTTCATTATTTTAGCATAATTATGTATGCAATTACATACAAGAACTGAAGTTATAGAGAATTACAGACATAAATCTCAGTTAAAGCACAGGCTAATAATGAAAAGTACCTCCAATTCCCAGGTACACTGTAGTACTGGGTTTACAGCTAAGCTATTTTGAAGTTTTGCTATTGTGTTTCAACCCAGTTGGGTTCTGTGTCATAAATACATGGTTCAATATCTACAGTGTCATTTGATCTCTGAAACAAAAATAGAGATCTGAACACCCACAAACATACGGTAAAGTCTCACTGAAATGCCAGAGGAGCTGCTTTTTCGGGATTAATAATGTGTTTGTTTGTGAACAAATTGGTGCATGTGTTCAATTTTTTCCCTAAAAGAAGTTTCCTTGATGGTCTTGAGACTATGCATGTTGTTACTAATGCCTTTATATATATGAGTATGAATTACTACAAAAATAACCATGGAGAGAATAATTTCTATTCAAGTGTTATTGTTTTGTATGATGTTCCTCTCATGCATTAGCGCCCAAAAGTGAATGGTCAGGGCATCAATTAACAAGACTAAATATTATGAAAATGCCTGAAGGGGATATTTTTGTTTTCCAAAAGCAGAAGAAATTGTGATTGTTCTGTGATTAGGGGAGGGAGAAGAAAACAGATACTCCTTAGCAAAGCAACTTGTGCCTACTTCTAGTGTCTTCTAACAACAGTGTAATAATGACAGCCTGGGCCATGCTGTTTCCAGCAGCTCTCTTTGGCTGGAAATGGCAAATTGTATCCAATGGGAGCTGTGAGGCTCTGTGGCTATGTATCCTTAAGGTAAACAATGTAATGCAAGCCTGCTAGTGGCTTTGACAAAGTGGGCCCACAGTCGACTTTGAGAAACACTGCTCTACAGCAGCAGATTTGGGGCAGGGTGAGTGGGGCGGCTGCCCCGGGCCCCTCGCTTGCAGAAGCCCTGCACATATGCCGTAGCACCACGGCGCATACGCCATGTCAAAGGGGAGGGCCGTGCAAAATTGTGCTGCCCGGGGCCCCGCGGCACTCTTATCCGCCCCTGCTGCTCTAGACTATAAAATGCACCCATTACTGGAAACTCATGTCAGAATAGAGTGAGATGGGATCAATATTGAATATGATTTAGCAACAAGTGTGGCCAAGGATAAGCCATAGCTAAAACTGGCTCTGCTGCTCTGTGTATCAGAACCAGCCTAGTTTCAATAGCAACAGTGACCTTTGAGGTTTTCCCCATTCCTTCTGCATGCAGCAAGGTTTGGCTTCTGAGCTGACATATTAAAATGCATGCTCCTAAAACTTCATTTTTATTTTATTTCAGGATGATGACATGGATCAATGGAATAAACATCTACATGAGATTTCTGATGTGGTTTCTTCTACTATGTATGTTTGTCAGGAAGGCGCAACCTGAAGATGACATTATAGTTACTACTAAGAAAGGAAAAGTAAAAGGGATTCACTTGCCAGTACTTGGGGGAACTGTGACAGCCTTCCTAGGAATTCCTTATGGAGAGCCACCCATTGGTAGACTACGATTCAAAAAACCAGAACCCCGCAACAAATGGACAGAAATTTGGGATGCCACAAAACATGCAAACTCTTGTTATCAGAATATAGATAAAACTTTCCCTGGATTCCCTGGATCAGAGATGTGGAATCCAAGCACTAACCTTAGTGAAGACTGCTTATACCTCAACATATGGGTACCTTCTCCCAAACCCAAAAATGCAACTGTCATGGTATGGATTTATGGGGGTGGATTTCAATCAGGGACATCCTCTCTACCTGTCTATGATGGCAAATTTTTGGCCCGTGTTGAAAGAGTCATTGTAGTTTCAATGAACTATAGAACAGGGGCACTAGGATTCTTGGCTTTACCAGGAAATCAGGAAGCTCCAGGAAATGCAGGTTTATTTGATCAAAGGTTAGCACTTCAGTGGGTCCAGGAGAACATAGCTATCTTTGGTGGCAATGCTAGAAGTGTGACTTTATTTGGAGAGAGTGCTGGATCTGCCTCTGTTAGCTACCATATTCTTTCTTCTGAGAGCCATCCTCTTTTTACAAGAGCCATCATGCAAAGTGGCGCTGCTAATGCTCCCTGGGCTACATTAACACATTCAGAAGCAAGGAAGAGAACTTTGACTTTAGCTAAACTACTCAGCTGTTCAGGTAACAATGAGACAAACATAATTCTCTGTCTCCAAAACAAGGATCCCCGGGATATCCTGGAAAATGAAGGTTCTGTTTTAACACACAATTTTCTTCTTAAAACGTATTTCTGTCCCATAGTTGATGGTGATTTTCTCACTGAAATGCCACAAACATTGATCCAGAATGGGCTCTTTAAACAAACTCAGCTCTTAGCGGGAATTAACAAAGATGAAGGGTCAGCTTTTCTAGTGTATGGTGCACCTGGTTTCAGCAAAGATAATGAAAGCCAGATCAATAAAACAGAATTTCAAATAGGTTTAAGTCAGTCCTTTCCAGAAGCAAATGAACTTGGGGTGGAATCAATAATTTTTCACTACACAGACTGGGAAGATGAGAAGAATCCTGACAATTATCGTGATGCGATGGATGACGTTATTGGGGATTACAATATCATATGTCCTGTAGTGGAATTCACCAAATTTTTTGCTCAACTAGGAAATAATGTATTCTTCTACTTCTTTGAACATCGGTCCTCAAAACTTGCTTGGCCAGAATGGATGGGAGTAATGCATGGTTATGAGATTGAGTTTGTATTTGGATTACCTCTAGAAAGAAGAGTTAATTACACCAAAGCTGAAGAAATCTTGAGTAGGTCCATTTTGAGATACTGGGCTACTTTTGCGAAAACTGGGTAAGTTTGAGATTTGCTGGTTTAGTTTTATGTCAACATACTCAAACTATAAATGATTATTCTGTTGATTGTGTTCTGGGCCTCTAAGGACTCTGAGGAAGGATTAATTGTCCAGTCATCTAGGACTTCTCTTTTATTATTGATAAAAATGGTATATCAATATATTAAACTGTTGAAATACAGCTGACAATATCATATGAGTTTGAGAAAATTCTGTATACACTTCAAAGATGTTAGTTATCACCTATGAATGCAACCACAAAGTATGTTTTCATGACTTCAGCTGTTGTAAATGAAGACAAGCATTTCAAGCCACATAACCCTCATTTATACACCTCATGCACACTGTTTTTGAAATCCTGACCTCATGAAATCAATGGCAAAACTCTGGTTGACCTAAGTGTAGCTCACCCTAAAGTTGAAATTCACCACAAAACTCAAAGAACAAAATGTTATGTGAGCCACTAAGTGGGACTTAAGGGATGGAATCCAAAACCCTCAACCAGTCAACCCACATGCTGTGTCTACATTGGCCCCTATTCCGTAATAGGGATGCTAATGTAGCACTTTGGAATAGGCAAATACGCGGGGGATTTAAATATCCCCCGCAGCATTTACATTTTCATGGCTGCCACTTTTTTCCGGCTTGTAGATAAGCCGGAGAAAAGCGCCAGTCTGGACGCGATCCTCCGGAAAATAAGCTCTTTTCAAGTAGGAATAAGAAATCCTCTGGAAAAGAGCTTATTTTCTGGAGGATCGTGTCCAGACTGGCGCTTTTCTCCGGCTTATCTACAAGCCGGAAAAAAGTTTTCTCCGGCTTATCTACAAGCTGGAAAAAAGCGGCAGCCATGAAAATGCAAATTCCGCGGGAGATATAGGGGCCAATGTAGACACAGCCGTTATGTTTCAGAATATGGACTGAATAGTGAATAATGAATATAATACCTATTATCCCTATATGGTGGGGGACAGGTTTCTCTGTTAGTGGATCTGTGTGAGACCTGTATCATCACCGCAGAAATATCCTTTAGGTTTCAACACATTTATACTAAAGATAGCCATACAGATTAAGTCTTAATGTTATAACTCTAGTGCAATGATTATTAAACTGGGATATAGTATCATAGAAGTGGAAGGAACCTCAAAAGGTCATCAATCCCTGGCACTCATGGCAAGACCCAAGTACTGTTTAGACCATCCCTGACAAGTGTTTGTCTGACCTGCTTTAAAAAAAAACTCCAATGATAGAGATTCCACAGCCTCCCAAAACCATTTATTTCAGTGCTTAACCACCCTGAGAGGAAGTTTTTCCTAATGTCCAATCTAAACCTCCCTTATTGCCTCCTGTCATAAGGATCTAAGATGAATAGTTTTTCTCCCTCATCCTTTTAAGTACATGAAAGCTGTTATCGTGTCCCCCTCTTAGTCTTTTCTTTTCCAAACTAAACAGACCCAGTTCTTCCTATTTTCCTTCATAGGTCGTGTTTTCTAGACCTCTGATCATTTTTTGTTCTTCTCTGCATCTATTCCAATTTCTCCTCAACTTTTCCAGTTTTGGACACAGTACTCCAGCTGAGGCCTATTCAGGACAGAGAAGAGTGGAAGAATTACTTCTTGGTCTTGCTTACAACTCTTCTATTAATACTTTCCAGAATTAATTTTACTTTTTTTAAACACAGTGTTACATTTAGATCCATATTTAGCTTGTCTTCCACTATTGTCCCTAGATCCCTTTATGTAGTATTCTTTCGCAAACAGAGATTTTCCATTTAGTAAGTGTGAAACTGGTTGTTCATTCCTAGGTAGAGTACTTTGCATTTGTGCTTATGGTATTTCATCCTATTTACTTCAGACCATTTCTCCAGTTTGTCCAGATCATTTTGAATTATAATTATAATAAAACACTCTAAAGCACTTGAAACCCCTCTCAGCTTGGTATTATCCGCAAACATTATCAGAGTATTCTCTATACCATTATCTAAATCATTGATACAAATATCGAACAGAACTGATCCCCAGACTTATCAGGGGTACAACCCCACTCGTCATGCCCTTCCAGCATGATGTGAACAATTGATGATTACTCCCTGGGAACTGTTTTCCAACCAGTTGTGCACCCACCTCATAGTAGTCCCATCTACATTGTATTTCATTAGTTTATTGATAAGAAGGTCAGGTGAAGCTGTTTCAAATGTTTAGATATACTACATCTACCATTTTCCCCTTATCTAGAAGGCTTATTAACTTATCAAGGGAAACTATCAAGTTGGTTTGACATGATTTGTTTGTGACAAATCCATGCTGACTATTACTTATCACATTATCTTCTAAATGTTTGCAAATGGATCCTTTAATTATTTGCTCCATTAACCCTCCTTGCACAAAAGTTAAACTGATTGAGCTGTAATTCCTGTGTTGTCCCCATTTACCTTTTTATAGATGGGCACTATGTGTGCCCTTTTCCAGTCTTCTTCAGTCTTTGTTGTCTTCCATGATTTTTCAAAGATGATAGATAAAGGCACAGATACCTCCTCTATCAGCTCCTTGAGTATTCTAGGATGCATTTTATTGGACTCTGGGGACTTGAAGACCTCTAACTTGTCTAAGTAATTTTTAACTTGTTCTTTCCTTAGTTCAGTCTTTGATCCTGCCTCTTTTTCAATGGCATTCACTCTGTTAGAGATACAATAGCTATTAACCTTATTGGTTAACAACAAAACAAAAAAGTAATTACACAACTCTGATATTTCCACATTTTGTGTTATTATTTTCCCCTCTTCACTGAGTAACAGGTATCTCCTTGGTCTTCCTCTTGCTTCTAATATATTCGTAGAATGTTTTCTTGTTACACTGTGGTTGTGTCTACACCGCACCCCTTTCCGGAAAAGGGATGCAGATTAGACACATCGGAATAGCAAAATCCACGGGGGATTTAAATATCCCCCGCGGCATTTGCATTAACATGGCTGCCGCTTTTTTCCGGCTTGGGGATAAGCCGGAGAAAAGCGCCAGTCTAGACGTGATTCTCTGGAAAATAAGCCCTTTTCCGGAGGACCTCTTATTCCTACTTTTGAAAAAAATGGCAGTCTAGATGTGGATCTGTCAAAAATAAACCCTTTTTCGAAGGGGGCTGCCGCTTTTTTCCAGCTTGGGGATAAGCCGGAGAAAAGCGCCAGTCTAGACGTGATTCTCCGGAAAATAAGCCCTTTTCCGGAGGATCTCTTATTCCTACTTCGAAGTAGGAATAAGAGATCCTCCGGAAAAGGGCTTATTTTCCGGAGAATCACGTCTAGACTGGCGCTTTTCTCCGGCTTATCCCCAAGCTGGAAAAAAGCGGCAGCCATGTTAATGCAAATGCCGTGGGGGATATTTAAATAGGTGGTAGAATCTCTATACCTAGGATCTTACCTACCATCTTCATGAGTTTGCTAAAATCTGTCATCTTGAAGTCCCTTGTCTTTATTTGCTGTTCTTCCTCCTACCATTTCTTAGAATCATGAACTCTATCACAATCACATTCACTCAAGCTGCCATTCACTTTCAGTTTTTCAGCCAGATCCCCCCATTTATTAAAATTAAATCTATAATAGCCTTTCTCACCTCCACCCCATGGTAGTTTTCTCCATGCTCTCAAATAAAATATTTTCTCCGGTACATTATAAGAACATGCTGGATAATTTGTGCCTTGCTGTGTTATTTCTCCCAACAGATGTCTTGATAGTTGAAGTCCCTATCAGTCATGCATGTTATCCCACCATTTCTCTGTGTTCAGTCTTTGATCCTGCCTCTTTTTCAATGGCATTCACTCTGTTAGAGATACAATAGCTATTAACCTTATTGGTTAACAACAAAACAAAAAAGTAATTACACAACTCTGATATTTCCACATTTTGTGTTATTATTTTCCCCTCTTTACTGAGTAACAGGTATCTCCTTGGTCTTCCTCTTGCTTCTAATATATTCATAGAATGTTTTCTTGTTACACTGTGGTTGTGTCTACACCGCACCCCTTTCCGGAAAAGGGATGCAGATTAGACACATCGGAATAGCAAAATCCACGGGGGGTGAATGGCAGCTTGAGTGAATGTGATTGTGATAGAGTTCATGATTCTAAGAAATGGTAGGAGGAAGAACAGCAAATAAAGACAAGGGACTTCAAGATGACAGATTTTAGCAAACTCATGAAGATGGTAGGTAAGATCCTAGGTATAGAGATTCTACCACCTATTTAAATATCCCCCACGGCATTTGCATTAACATGGCTGCCGCTTTTTTCCAGCTTGGGGATAAGCCGGAGAAAAGCGCCAGTCTAGACGTGATTCTCCGGAAAATAAGCCCTTTTCCGGAGGATCTCTTATTCCTACTTCGAAGTAGGAATAAGAGATCCTCCGGAAAAGGGCTTATTTTCCGGAGAATCACGTCTAGACTGGCGCTTTTCTCCGGCTTATCCCCAAGCTGGAAAAAAGCGGCAGCCATGTTAATGCAAATGCCGTGGGGGATATTTAAATAGGTGGTAGAATCTCTATACCTAGGATCTTACCTACCATCTTCATGAGTTTGCTAAAATCTGTCATCTTGAAGTCCCTTGTCTTTATTTGCTGTTCTTCCTCCTACCATTTCTTAGAATCATGAACTCTATCACAATCACATTCACTCAAGCTGCCATTCACTTTCAGTTTTTCAGCCAGATCCCCCCATTTATTAAAATTAAATCTATAATAGCCTTTCTCACCTCCACCCCATGGTAGTTTTCTCCATGCTCTCAAATAAAATATTTTCTCCGGTACATTATAAGAACATGCTGGATAATTTGTGCCTTGCTGTGTTATTTCTCCCAACAGATGTCTTGATAGTTGAAGTCCCTATCAGTCATGCATGTTATCCCACCATTTCTCTGTGATGCCAAATATGTCATAGCCCTGTTTATTTACTAGCATTTCAAATTCCCCTACTTCTTGCATTAGTACACAGATGACTAAGATACTGATTTAATTTTGCAT